ACATTTATGAATAAATTTGCAGTACATCATGAATAATAAATAAATAGTTGAGCCGTGTGAATAATTCACATAATATATTGGTCAGTAAACAAAAGGCAATATGATATGGAAATAAGTAAATGTAATTTAATAACAGGGGAAAGAATTAATTTTCGTTTCCTTGATCGTTTACAATAGTTCATCAAAAAATAAACACCAAAACATGTATTCAAATTACAGTTGGCTGCAGGGATGTCCTCCCCCAAGATCGATGGCTCAGAAACTTCTCCTCCCTCAAGAAATTTTATTTCTTTTCTCATATAAAACCATTGCAAGCAACAATAGAATTAGAAAAAGCATAGATCATATTACACTTACTGTAGTCCCAGGGCGGATCTATGGGGGGTGAAGGGCTTTGGATCTGAAGCCCCCCCCAAAATGGTAAAATATAACCATGTTTTATGGAAAAAAATTATCTCTTAAAGTATTATTGTTAGTGTAATTACATTTAAAAGCACTTTAGGAATCACTTAAACACCATTTCATATAGGTAGTTACCTTCTTTCTTTTTTTGCAAAGTAATTATGGTTATTTTTATGAAAAAAAGCTTTCTGGCTGAAGCCCCTCCCCAAAATTAAACCCTGGATCTGCTAGTGCTGCTGTCTAGTGCATGTTTTTCCTCTTGTTCCCCGGTTTGAAATTTCTTACTTCTAAAATTCATAACCCCTTCAAAATGTGCACCCTCAAAAATGTTGATGCCGCAACTTGCGTCATAAAACTTTGGGTACCCCTGATTGGCTACCTAATTGCTAAATATGGTCCCATTTCGATGATTTTTTATCCTTATAAATCTATCAAATTATCAACCATAAATTGTTTATTTTTGAATTTGTTGCAAATCAAATTTCTTTCTCTTCATTTTTTATTTTTGTCTGATCACCCCAACCATCCTTCTCTTCAATTATGCACTACAGTCAACCATGAACCGACAATTCTTCCTCTTTAGTTTTACTGACTTCTGGTTTTTTGCTTATTTTTTTAAGAAGAAGAAATTTTTCATAATCATGCTTTAATAATTGTATTTGATGACAAATTAACGAAGATGTGGTATGCCGACCAAAAATTTCCTTTTAGGAATATGGTGTTAAGATCATAATTACACGATGGTGATATTTTTTTAAGATAATAAAGAGAGGTGGATATGGTTTTCTTTTTTATCGGTTGGTACTTTATTTCTTCATTTCAAACTATTAAACCACAAGAGAATCATTTTAAATGTATTCAGTAACACAAAGAACCATAAAATTTGTGATACCTTTTAAAATATAATCATTTTCATTTTACAATCTAAAAATATATCTCCGGAAGAGATGTATTTACGGTATTCTTTTCCTTTCGTTATAGTCAAAGCAACTTAGTAAACAAATTAACTTAACCTTTGGAACATGCAAGTTATAATTTTCGATGAAATCCACTCTTATATGATAGTTGTTTATATTACTTTCATCGCCAGGCAAAGAACGATAGAAAGGGTTTACACCGCCAGTACGATTGCGATATTTATCGCAAAATACTAGCTGCTTGTCTCTTCTACCAATATCGTTTGATCTGTGAACTGTGAAAATGGTAAATCCGACGGGTAAGAACATAGTACCATTTTGGTCCTTATAACTTTTTTTTATTACTTTTTATATTATTTTTGAACGGTCAGGCATTCATTATTTTCAACTGGATTCAGCGGGTATTGATTCCAAAAGTCAATGTTTTTTTTTAATTTAAACAAATTTTGAAAGAAATTTGTTTTTATTTCTCTCTAAGTAATTAACATTTTTATAGTAGCCATATCTCTTGTAACAATAGCAGAATGTTTCGCAAAATTATATGCGTACATCCACTGTTTTCTCCTAACATATCTCACAATAAATTCCTTCTCCCTCGACGTCAAACTCGTGATTAATGGCACAAAACTTTACTACCTATTTCTTATTGTGTCTTAGTGACAAGATGAGACATGTGTGCCACATATTTCCCTATTGTGAATACCACTCAAGTGTGGCTACCGTTGACATATAATAGATTAAGTATTATATTGATGCACTTAATGAGTTTTTAAATTTGTGATTCACAAATATGTCCTTAAAAGTTTAGTTCTATTAAAAATAGGCTTATGTTAGACTGGGAAGCGAAAATCGTGTTTGCATTCATTATATTTCTCTGACTTTCGGACTGTCATCTCCAGAAGCAAGCAATAGTTATTATTTCGTGGTTCATAGTTCTGCCTTGAACCGCGATGGAATTCGAAAGGATCAACCACAAAAGAACAAACGGCTTCTAAAATACGATGTTATCTTCTTGACTTGTGAACTAAATATTTTCATATTTGAAAATGAGTTTTAATTTCCGTTTTAATGAAGAATTCTTACTAATTATGCTTCATTCTTTAATAAGATAAGACATATTTATAGAAGATTGTAAACAAGTATACAATCTGTTATAAATAACTGCCACTTTGGGTAAGTCTATTTCAGAAAAGAGTTGTAGATACTAAAATTATTAAGCTATCTTCTTGACTTGTGAACTAAACATTTTCCGTTTTGATGAAGATTGTTTACTAGCTATGCTTCATTCCTTAATAAGATAAGATAGTTTAGATTACACATGTGTCGTAAATTATTCTTCCGTTCTATTTATTTCAAGTTACAGTTATTACTTTCACTTAAATTTAAATGGAATATAAAGAATAGGAAAGTTTAATTTAGTTTATACTTCTGCTCTGCATCTCGGGGGAAACCGGAAGAATTTTTGCGTCAACCATAAACGAATATTCATCTAAAATATTTATTACACCAATTTTATTTTCACTAACTAATATATGAGATATATAGAAAGAAAAAGTATTGTGATTTTGAAATTTTTTCTAATTTAAGTTTTAAACAGAAATTCCCAGTATAAGGTATAGTAAGTTCAAACAAACAGGTCAAAATAGTCTGTGTGGCTGTATATGAGCAACATGGATTGACAAGAAAACAACTTGTGAAACAGTTTCAACATTAGGTAAGAACTGTTTGCTAAAATCGACTTACCTAAAGGGCTAGTTTTTATGCCTATTTAGAATCTTCTCTAAAAGTGATCTAAATATTTTTAATAATCGTAATATCAATGTACAAATAAGTGGCAACTTTAATGTAGGCTTTATATATTTTATCGTCGATAAAATAGTTCGGCAGGGCTGGAACACCGAATTTAAATAATCTCTTAATTAGTTTATCTGAAACAATTAAACGTCTCTTATAGTTAGTAATAAGAAATGGTTGAATATAGGTGATGAACAAATTTGCTTATTAGCTTCAGGAGAAAAAGAAACAACTTTTCGAAAATAAGTAATATATATGTATAATATATCGTTAGAAAGCTAAGATTTTTTTTTTTATTTCGGCTTGATAATTTTATGGAACTTTTAAAAAAAGTTTCATTTTAACAGTTTCAATGGAATTTGTTCGAAAAAAAAATTAAAATAGAAGTTTTAAATATAACTTTCTGGATTAATTGTTACTTATTTATTTTATATGATAAACTTATTTCTGTCAGAATAAATTTTCTATTTAGCAATGTATTAAGCAAATATGAAATCAAGGAATATATTAGTTGATTGTGAGCAGCACGAAATAATAATATATTATCAACACATTGTTATCAACGCAAAAATAATTGTTTTTATTTCAGAAAATGCTTGGAGTTCCACCGATGTGCCCCCAAAACTAATTGTTTTCTATTTATTTTTCACTATAGAATTAATGGAGTCCCTTCCAGGACTTCTGAGGTAGTTTTTATATTACTACTAATACATCTTGGTAGTATCCTGGTATGTTTGGCTCCAAAAAATAATTGTATTTTTTACTCCACATATATTTGGGACATCTCTGGTAGGGCATTGAAAGGGTTAAAAATGTCAGTGGAAGTAGACCACTATTACATATATACAACCAGAAGCAGGTGGTTGGATGAAAGAATCCTTGATGGACTGATGTGAATGAACTTCAATGATCTATTTATGACTGCATAATGGAACAGGTAGTATCCATGCTCTACTCCGGCCGAATCCTATAGCATTCAAAGGCAAGAAAAGAAATAATAAATGAATAAATATGAAATAAATATGAGAAATAATAAAGTCCAATATGAATTATAATGAACACAGAACCAAGATGCATTGTTATGGTTCTAAGCTTGATGAAGCTTGAAATATAAACACATTGAAGAGGACATCAAACAGTATAACATTTAGGTGTCTGGGCTCGAAGGAATCGCTTCAAAACTTGTTGGATGATGCATGGATTTCATCGGTGAAGAACTCCACGCTTTCCAGAATTCGTTTTTTTCTCAAGACTTCATAGAACTGTATTCGTAAATGCATTCTTCCAAAACTAACAAATTCGTGACCTGCTTACTCTTCAGACTTAAATTCCATTAAACATTTATTGGATCAACTTCAAAGACGAATTTCTGGACGAATACCCTTTCACAAAATCTAGATGAACTGCCAACAGCACTCTTAAATTATGATACAAGTAGAATATTTCTTTGTTAAAGTTATTTATTTTATTTCAAATCAATTTAATTTATTCAGATTGAAATAAATAACATAGCTTACTTAAAATTTCTGTAATTGGCCAGAGTATTGTTTCAAACTCTACATCTAACATTAAATTGATGTATTAGATATTGAACGATATATTTCAGTAAAGTTATCCTCCATGCCCTAAAAGAATATAAAAAATGTATATTTATTAATTATCTGTTCAACCTATACACTCTGGTTCGAAATAAGCTTTTCACTTGTATATAAGATAGTGATATAATCTATAAATATAAACATAGAAGACTAAGAGATGATTGATTATCTTAATTTTGATGCAGTTTTTCTCAACTTTAAAATAGTATTTGCCTCAGATAATGAAAACATCATAAGCAATTATTAAAATATACATTTGCAATATGTTAATAAATCTATATAATTACTTATAAACTTTTTCTTTCTTACAAATAAAGTTTTACTCGTAAAGTTGAGGTTCAGAAGTGGTATATACTATACTCATATTTTATAAATGAACTACGCCACTGTTAATTCATTCTTTTGTTACAAATTTTAGATCCAAAATGTTGTTTGGTGTGGCTATTATTGTTGGCTTGTTATGGTTATTTTACAAACTTTGGGTATCTAACTATAATTACTGGAAGGAGAGGGGTATACCATCTTACCCAGCAGAATTCCCTTATGGTAGCGATCCAAACTTAGTGAAATTAAAAACATTTCAAGGCTACACCATTGATAAGGTTTGTTGAGTCATGAATAGTCTCAAGTAAACTGTTTAAAAATAAATTGACTGTAAAACTCTGCTTTTAGATGTACCACGAATTCTCTCCGCATCCACTGTTTGGAATTGTTGTGCTAAGGAAACCATTGCTGGTAGTGAAAGATCCAGAATTAGTCCAGCTGGTTTTGACAAAAGAGTTTTCACACTTCAGAGAAAGGGGCCTGATAAAACTGTAATAATTTTTGTTTTCTTCTTACCCTTATTTCAATAATTAATATTATAGAATTTTATTGTAAATTTAACAAAAAAAAAAATTAAACTAATTCTGAATTTATGAATGAAAAGTTGTGTTAAAAAAATGTTGATGTTTTACAGTTTAAAAAAAGATACATTAAATCATCACTTATTCCATCTTGGAGGAGAAAGGTGGAGACCTTTAAGAATGAAACTTACTCCTACATTTACCAGTGGAAAACTGAAAGCTATGTTCCCCCTTTTTATTAGTTGCGCTGAGGTAAATTTTATTTTTATTTATATCATCTATAAATCCTTTTTCTCATACTTTTAAGCTATATTGTTCAAAATATTTGGGATTTTTGAATAGATGCCAAGTAAAACTTCTGTTTTTTGATCGATTTGCTACATATATATTTGTAATGGTCATATTTTGAGGACTTTACTCCATTTTTTGGGCTCTGATTCTGCAGTATATACAAACCATTAAGTGACTAAATCATAACCTTAAATAATTAAGAACATTAAAGCATTTTATCTTTATGAAAACAGAAAATTATATTTTTTTTATCAAATTGAATTATATTAAATAAAAAAATAAATGTTAATAACTACTTTATGGATTGCTTTATGTAATAGACTTGTGAAGTAAGTATTTCTACAACTCCAACAGATTTTTTTTTTTAAGACCTAATATGTTCTGCCATACTTAAGAGCAATAATTTTAAATATTCATCAACAGTACAATTAAAAAAACATAAAATAAAAATATAATAATTTTAAGGGTGAGATTTTATTACCAAGAAAACAGGAATTCGAGACCTCTCCAGTACTCTTTATTTGTATAAGCAAATGACATCGTAGTATTCGGTAATGACGGAAGACAACTCCAGTTCAACTTTCGCATTTTTAAGAAGTGCATGAGGCAGTCTAAATCTAGAAGGCCTCCATGGTTTGATGCTGAGTGCCTTCAAGCATTAAAAGTGAAAAATGAAGCCTACAGAAAGAAGGTTCAGCGTCCCACAAGGCTCTCCCAAGAAACATATCGAAGAAAAAGACGCGAAGAGAAGAGATTATTCCGTGGAAAGAGAAGAGCTTGGGAAAACAAGAACATGGAGGATACAGAGGCATTGCGCGGCCAAAATGAAAGTCGGCTGTTCTATCAGAGAATAAACGAGGGTAGGGCAGCTTTCAGGCCCAGAGTGACGCCATGCAAAGACACGAATGGAACTCTTTTAAGCCACAAAGATGACGTACTAAGGAGATGGGTACAACATTTCAAAGACGCATTAAACAGAGGAACGGTGCCTGGAGAAGTAGGAGTAATGAAGGAAGACTCCCTGAATTCTATTGAACCCACGGATGAGGAGGAAATGGAAAACGCCCTGAGGAATGGAAAGGCGCCAGGCCCGGACAGAATCCAGTCAGAGCTGTTGAAATGTGGAGGTGAAGAACTCAAGAAAGCTCTGCATGATTTAATGCTGACCATCTGGGAGAGGGAAGCTATGCCTATTGAATGGGCAACAGCCATTATCTGCCCAATACATAAGAAAGGAGATCAAAAAGAATGCGCTAACTATCGAGGAATCTCACTCCTTTCGTGTGCTTATAAGCTGCTCTCTAACATTCTTTTGGAGAGGATTCTCCCGTATTCTGAAAAGGAACTGAGGAAATATCTGGCTGGATTTCGAAGAGGACGCTCAACCACTGATCAACTGTTCTCTCTGAGGATGATCCTAGAAAAGACTATGGAGCGTAAGGTAGTCACCCACCATTTAATACTAGACTTTAAAGCAGCATACGACAGCGTTGATAGAACGCAACTATACTGTGCCTTGGAGGAGCTAAGCATCCCTCAGAAGCTCGTACGCCTAATCAAGATGACCATGGACAGCTCGAGATGTCGAATACGCGTCGGTTCTGACGACTCCGAAGAGTTTAAAGTGAGCAGTGGGGTAGGCAAGGGGATGCCCTCGCCTGTCTATTGTTCAACTTGGCAGAGGAGAAAGCTGTAAGAGACTCCGGTATTCAGACAAACGATGTAATCTTCAATCGCCTGACACAGCTTCTTGGTTTTGCTGATGATATTGACATAATAGGTAGATCTGAACGGGCTCTCAGAGAAGCGTTTATAGGCCTTGAAGCAGCTGCAAGACCACTTGGTCTAGAAGTCAACGAGAGGAAAACTAAGTATATGAGAGTTGGTGGTGAGGTGGATCTGAACTCTCCATTTGAGGTAGGTTCGTTTGAGAGAGTGAAAAGTTTTATATACCTTGAGTCTGAAATTAATAGCAAAAATGACATGGCTCAAGAAGTACAAAGTAGGATCACGGCTGCCAATAGATGTGTCTTTGGACTTGGCCGACACTTAAGAAGTAGGTACCTCTCAAAGAAGACCAAGCTGATCATATACAAGACCCTTGTTCGGCCTGTTTTGACATATGGCTCAGAGGCTTGGACGATGACTAAAAACGATGAGATGAAGCTGAGTGTGTTTGAGTGAGGAGTCCTCAGAAGGATTTATGGTCCAGTAAAGGAGGGTGATGTCTGGAGGAAAAGAAAAAATAGGGAGCTCAGTTCTCTCTATACAGACATCGACGTAGTCACGTATATTAAACTGGCCAGACTAAGGTGGGCATGGCATGTGGCCAGAATGAGCACCCTTGAAATAACAAAGAAAATAATTATGGAGCAGCTGCATCTCGTAAGACGGGTAGGAAGGCCGAGGACGAGATGGTTGGACAACGTGGCCTATGATGCGAGAACCCTGCTTGGTGTACGGAACTGGAGAGCTGCAGCAGAAGACAGTGCCAACTGGCGGAGGCTCTTGGAGGAGGCCCAGTCTCGGTAACGGGATGTCGTGCCACATATGATGATGATGATGAGGCAGTCAATATGAAGATAAACATTTGAAAAACAAAAATAATGAATATAGAAAGGAGAGAAAACCGAATTTATAAGATTAAGAGGTGAGAAGATTGATAAAATGAAACTGTTCAAATATCTTAAGGCTAGTGCGAGTGGACAAATGAGGACATTAATTAATTAAGTAACAGTTATAGTTAAGTAATATTAAATCCAAAATTATTGATCACATAGGTTTGTATTAAATAAGTTATTTAAGAATTATATTTTACTCACTTAGATCTTATTATAAAATAATTGAAAAGCTAGACCTTATTCTTATCTCATGATGTTGAAGAGCATGTAGGTATTCCTATTCTTATATTATTTATTGTCCATATTATTCTTATGTATATATAATCTTAATTATGTCCTGATATTTGTCTATATATTATCTGATGTATTAGTGACATTTTATTATTGTTGATTTTACTTACATACTCCTGATTATTTAAAAAAAAAAATTATGTTGCAAATATTTTGCAATATTATTATTTACAAATAAATATTAATTTGTATTGACCGAAAAATAATAAAAATTTATCATTTAGATACATTCTGAAAATGTAGAATAGTCATTTTTTATTTTATATATTTTTATGTTACTTACAGAGTTTTAGTTCCCTCCTGTTGTCAAAAGCTGATTCAAAAGTCGATATAAAAGAATTAGCAGGTCGTTTTTCAGCAGATGTCATCTGTAGCTGTGCATTTGGCTTAGATATGGATGTTATAAATCACCCGGATAATAAACTTAGAAGGATTGGTATCGAAAGAATGAAAGTACCCTTTTTTAGAAAATTAAACGTTGCATTGGTTCAATTATTTCCAGCATTGTCAACAGTATTAAAAACCAGGTATTTTATTAAGCTTATATTTTTCGTGTTAAAAATATTAGGATAAAACAGAAGCTTAAAATATAAATAGAAAATATTAAGATAAAATACATAGCTTGATCGAGCAAGGTGTGATTCACAAAAAGGACAGTGCTTTTCTTGTCAAGCTGTTGCAAAAATAAGAGATGTTGGTTCATTATAATGGTTGAAAATGGTAATTTTATAAAACTTTCACTGTGAAATATTATATGAAGGTATATTTGAGCCTTTCAGTTGACAGAATGACTAACTCCAATTTCAACATTTTGATTATTAATTTAATGATATTTCTTTTTTTTTTTTTTTTTTTTTTTTTATCTATTTATTGAATAATAATACATGCAGCCACTGCTGGAGGGCTATAAGCATTAGGGCTAAAAGTTCTCATTCATACAATATATACAAATAATAAAGAAATAAATATAAATATAAGAAGTAAATAAATAATACTGATGAAGAAGATAAGTAAAAAGAAAAGAAAAAATAATAATAATAAACAAATAAAATAAAATAAAAACTTCTAAACACAATCATAACTATATACAATATATACATTCGCCCAAGAATCTCCGAACCAGGCTTTTTCCCCCACACGTGGAAGGCAAAGCAAGACTCCGGAAGATCCCAGCGCCACTTTTCCAGCCGCATCACTAGTATTAGAAGCCAGTGGAGACTGGAAGAGGGCACTAGAGCCACAGACGCTCAGGACATGAGTGGAGAAGCTGGCCATTGCCAGGACTCCAAAGGCATATTTACAAAAGATCTCGAGGCCACTGCCGTTTCAACCTTCGAGGGGGATGGTATGGATGCTCGGAGCTGGATAGGGATTGGGCTAGAGGATTGGGATGATGTATGAGGTTCTGGTGAAAGTTGGAGAATCTGGATGGGATGATGTCATGGACATATGGGATGTTAAGGTCATGGTGTAGGGTCTTGTTCGTGACATAATATGGAGCATTGACTATTGTTCGAAGGACTTTAGACTGGAAGGATTGGATGCGTTTGATATTCGATGATTTAGTTGTCCCCCACAGCTCAAGTCCGTAGGTCCAGATAGGTTTCAGTATGGTCTTGTAGATTAATAATTTGTTTTCTGTTGAGAGATGAGATGTTCTGTTTAGTAGTCTATATAGCTGACCAAATCGTCGGTTAAGCTCTTGTCTTTTAAGTCTCGTATGTGGGTTCCAAGTCAGTCTTTTGTCCAGAAGGAAGCCAAGGTATCGGACTGTGTCTGAGTAGGGAAGAGGAATTGAATTAAAAAGGATTGGAGGACAGGATCTGCGTCGAAGAGTGAAAGTTACATGTTTACATTTTGATTCATTAATTTTGATGCGCCAGTTGTTGCACCACTGCTCAATGAAGGAGAGGTGTCTTTGCAGGTTCCGGGACGCAATTAGAGGATCCGAGTGGGAGGATAGGATGGCAGTATCATCAGCAAATGTTGCTAGGAAGGTATCAGGACTTGAAGGGATGTCAGCGGTAAAAAGGATGTAGAGAACTGGGCCCAAGACACTGCCTTGTGGGACACCAGCCTCAATTGGATAATGTTTGGAGAGTTCAGTGCCGCAGCGGACTTGAAAGGAGCGATTTGAAAGGTAGGATTTGAGGACTAGATACAAGGGTTGAGGTAAATGGGTTTTGAGCTTGAAAAGCAAGCCATCGTGCCACACCCGGTCGAAAGCTTGAGCTACGTCCAGAAAGGCACCAGTGCAATATTGCTTGTTTTCAAGTGCAGAGGATATGTGGTCCACAACGCGAAGGCCTTGTTGGACAGTGGAGTGTCTTGAGCGGAATCCAAACTGATGGGAAGGGATATTGTGGGATTCCAGTATGGGTAGGATGCGTTTGAGAAGGATTTTCTCAAAGATTTTGGAAAGGATCGGAAGTAAGCTTATCGGTCTATAGGATGATGTACAATTAACAGGTTTACCTGGTTTAGGAAAGAGGATAATTATGGAGTGTTTCCACACCAGAGGAAAGTGGGTTGTGCGGAGGATACAGTTGAATAGGTATGTAAGGAATATAATTGCTTTTTTGGGAAGTTGTCTGAGGATCTGGGAAGTAAGGAGATCGTGTCCTGGAGATTTGCGAGGTTTTAGGTTCTTTAAAAGGAATTTGACCTCAGAGGGGTTGACGGCTTTAGGAGGTAAGGAGAGAGGAATCGGTGAAGAGAGGAATTCTTTAACTTCAGCAGTATGGGAGGGATGGAGTTCAGGATGAGGAGTGAATGTGTACGATAGATGTTTAGCAAACTCTTCTGCTCTATTCTCATCTGACGAAGCCCAGGAACCATCATCACGGCGGAGGGGGTGGAAAATGGATTGGAATTTAAGGATTTTTTTAGTTACATTCCAGAGGGAGTTATCACTTGCAGATAGTGAGGAAAGATAGGAATTATAGGATTGGGATCTAAACGTAGCCAGTTTTTGTTTTACCTGCTTGGAATAATAGTTATATATGATATTTCTAGGGAGAAAATGTATACCTATATCCATAGTTATATATCTCAACACTGCAATCACCTACTCTGGATTCAACTTACTCACTATCTGTACAAGTATTATAAATTTTCCAACTAGAAATATAACTATATGCTTTATACAAAATGATAAAAAAACAAATATTGCTCCGGTATCAAAACAAAATAAAAACTAAAATTGTAATGATGCTTAGTTCTAAATTTTTTGCCCTCACAATATATCTCCTAAGTAGTGAAGAAAGTATTTAAAAAAATTGACACCTATAAAATGAAAAGTAGCATGAAACGAGATGTTCAGCGTTGCAAAAGTATAACAAGATTCTCAACTTTAATTTGTGTTCATATGTAGACTTATCACTGTTCTACTTGCTGATGAAATTTCAAACTTGAAGACCTTGCCGTTTTGTAGATAAAAGTTTTCATTTTCGGCTAGTTTTGAATATGAATATCATATAAGAGACTAAGTGGAAAATCATAAAATATATATTTTATAACACTTTATAATAAGGACATGTGGAACAAATTTGGTGACTGAGGCTCAATCGGCCACTGAGTTATATTGTATCAAATATGTATGGATATAGCATTATTTAAACGATAAATCAGTATCCTGCAATATAATTGTGGCAATGAATTGAATTTTAGTTTATCATAACACAATTTCTATGGCATATATGTTGGTATATATGTCTGCACTGTAGTACAGCTACTATCACATCGCCTGATATAAATATGTAAGCGCTTCAACAGTGAACTGTCACATTAACAACAGTAATATGTTTTCAGTTGAAAAGCAAATTCAAAATGGTCACTGAGAAAAAACCGTGAGGCTTAAAATTTTTTTAACTACTTCAACTAAATGTTTTCAACTTTCAAATAAATATGGAATAACTGGTAAAAAATTATTAAGATTTAACATGATCTGGATAATTCAAATTGATTGCTCCCATACTACAAATTTACCAGTATTAATACATTGTTGTATAATTTCCTAAACATCACCGAATTAATTAATCTTTCTAGATCCACTTCCAAAGAGGATGAAAATTATGTCATAAATTTGGTTAAAAATATAATGGAACAAAGAGAAAACAGTGGCATTGTAAGGAATGACTTCATAGATCTCTTAATACAATTAAAGAATAAAGGAAACCTTGGAGATGACGGACACGAATTTGAAGAACCATTTGGTATTATAATTTTAATGTTTATGTTACATGAAATCTTTTCTTTCCAAAATTTCAAACATTTTATCATTCTCTGATAATTCTCTGCTTTAAAAAAAAAAACAATTTGCTTGATTATACAGAAGTTGTAAGTATAATTGTGTATTCATACCACCTTTTTATTCAGAAATGACACTGGAATTAATTGCAGCCCAATGTTTTGTCTTTTTTATTGCTGGATTTGAGACCTCTAGTTCAGTGCAAAGTTTCTGCCTCTATGAACTGGCTCTCCACCAAGATATTCAATCAAGACTAATTAAAGAGATTGATGAAACAATAGAGAAGAATGGTTCTCTTACTTACAAGGCAATACAGGAAATGGAATATCTGGATATGGTCGTAGCAGGTAACTAAAATTCAAATTTTCATATTTTGAATCTTTATCATATAATATCAAATATCTAATATCTCAAACATATAAGGAGTTTATTACATCAATTATATTGCCATTTGTAATTTATATACCACATTCAATTATATTGCTCACAAGGTTGACAATACCTCAACATCGGTAGCAATCATATTTCTTTTTCATCAATGTTTCGTGTAATTTCTCAACATCTTTATAGTATGGTTACAGATCTTTACCAGGAGGTCTGAGTGTGAAAATTTCAATTCAGTTGTCTTAATCAATTTTAATGATAAGATTTATAATATTTAAAATATATAATATGCATAGTATTTTATATTATTAATTTTATAAAATACATAATATTTTAAATACTCCATAAACACCCACATTTTTTCACAAATAAATCCTGGGCTATGAATTTCAAGGAACATTTTATTTATAAATCACATTCTGTGTCGAATGAGTAGCTTAAATTTGATATTTATTTATTTATGTCGCTGTCCAATGGGTTATTGGCATTTCGTGTATTACTTTCCTACCTATACTAGGCAAGGAAAGTATTTCAATTGGGTGAAGTTTCCAACATGCGGTTTTAGACGGATCTATACGTTTCAGAGCCCCCTGAGTCCGAAAAACACATTTTAAGCCATTGGTCTGTCTGTCTTTGCCAAGATTTTTTTCGGAAACTACTGAACCGATTTTGTTGCTTCTTTTTTTATTTTGTAGGGTTTTGACTACTGATGCCTGTGACAGAAATTCGGTGCTCCATGCGCAGTAGCTTGAGCGCAATAAATGAAAAACATGTTTTTCTATAGACTGTAGCGCAAAAACGTATCTAACGATTTTGATAAAACTTTCCTATAATGTTCTAATCATTGTTCTTTTAATTTTCGTATATAGACTAAATTCTCGAATAAATTCAGGAAAAAAAGTTTATGTTTATGTTTGCAGGGCTTTTAAATATCTTGGAAAATATTTATGTTTGCAGGGCTTTTAAATACCTTGGAACATGTTTATATTTGCAGGGCTTTTAAATATCTTGGAACAGTAGTCACCAAAAATAACAAACTGCACAAGGATATAGGCCATAATAGCATCAGGAAATCATTGCTTTTTTGCAGTACATAAAGTTTTGAAGTTCAAAGATCTTTCTTGGAGCGCCAAGATCATTGTTTACAAGAACATTATTCGCCCAACAGTCACCTATGGCTGTGAGACCTGGGTCCTGACAAAGGAGATAGAGAAACGACTATTCACCTGGGAAAGAAAGATACTAAGAAAAATATATGGACCAGTCTACTCTGATGGAGAGTGGAAAATTAGAAAAAACAAAGATTTAAGAGCATTGTATGATCAGCCAGACATAGTAAGTATAATAAAAAAAGGGAAGGCTGAGGTGGCTCGGGGATGTTAAACGTATGAAAGAGGATCGTCTTGCAAGGAAGCTACATTTTAAAAAGCCGGGTGGTACTCGAAAGCGTGGACGTCTCAGAATGAGATGGCTGGACCACATTGAGGCAGACCTGCGCCAACTTGGAGTTAGAGGATAGAGAGTGGTTGCTGCCGATAGACCAGCCTGGCATGCAATCTGTGATGAGGCCCTTGCCCTTCAATGGCAGTAACGCCAAATATTATTATTATTATTAACCAATTGGTCAGGCTATCAATTGCAATAAATTTTAACTCTAACATACTAAACTCAGTGTAAATAATTTCACAACCCCTTTAGCAGCATATAATGTTTATTTTATTTTATTTTGTAATATATTTTATGTCAACCTTAATTTGATTTAATTATATTCCACAAGAACACCCTCTTCTGATAAATTTTAGCAAACAGGTTTGATTCCCCCTACTTCAGGATTAGGGAACGGCTGATGCCACAAACTAACTGAAAAAAATGCGAAAATTTAGCAGTTTTTATATATATTATATTATAGCAGTTGGGATATTAAGAAGTGAGTTAGAAGAACACTTAGGTCGAAAATTCAGATTTTTTATTTTACATGAGATACAAAAAGTTTAAATCAAGTGAATGAAAATTAAATAAAGTGTGAATTAAAAATGTTTCATCCGATTCGAAGGACTGGGACCAAGCATATCCTCCAATCCGCCTCATTCATGGCATCAATAGCAATTTATTATAAGTTATAATATAATCTTACATTAAAACTTCTCGGCTAGGTTTTATCTTGGATTATTTCATTGAAAATCCTGTACAAGAAAAAAAATCCATCTACAACCACTTGTTCCACTTAAAATATACAAGATTACGGAACTATTTGTAGCTGTTCACAATTATCCATTGATGTAATTATTATAATTTTCAATTGATTAATCCCTAAATGAAGAGATAAATAAGAGTTGTTTTCATAGGTAATTCTAACAATTGTATTCACTTTACTAAAATGTATGCTAAGAATAAAATATATTCCTCTCTTCTAACTATTATTACATTTCAGAAACATCGAGGAAGTACCCGACAATACCATCCTTAAATAGGCAATGTACAAAGACTATAACACTTCCTTCTGGTCAGAAAATAGAGAAGGATACTGCGATTATAATTCCTGTTTGGTCTCTGCACCAGGACCCTCAGTACTTTCCGGATCCAGATAAATTCAATCCTGAACGATTTTCACAAGAAAACAAAGACTCTATTGTTCCTTACACTTATCTACCATTTGGTGAAGGGCCTAGGATGTGCATTGGTAAGAGCTTGCTTATTGTGGTGCTAAAGATTAGAAAGATGGGAGAGGTCTTGGTAAAAATGAAAAATTTATATATTACATATAAAAATTTATATATTTTCTTTCTATATATACAGGGTGTTCCGTAAGTAGAGGGAAATTTTTATAGGAGTGATAGCAGAAATCAAGAGCTACAAAAAAGTTCATATAAACAAACGGCCAATTTCAGCAGAAAAGTAGTAAATCTAAGTTTTGTAGTTTTTTATTCAATGAAAAGCAATAACTAAAGAAATATTTAATTTAAGTAATTAATATTTGCTTCATTGTAAACAAGATGAAATTTACTTTAAATGAACATAGAGTTTATCATTGTTAAAACCATTTACAGAGGATTTTTGTGCAGCAAAACTAAGCTAAGTTCTGTTTTTAGAAAAATCATAAATTATTTGTCATTTTATTTTTACCCTCATCCAACTATACTACAATTTCTCCACTTTTACAAAAACTTCTTCATTTAATAAGCTTTAAGTTCGTGTTAATTAAGTTGAGGTTTATCAGGGAAAGATTTGAGATTCAGCTCAAGTTTTGTAAGCAAATCATAATATTTTTTTATCCTGTCAAGTAAAAGTACTCCTGTTTTCAGCAAAAATTACTACAATTTATTGTTGCAAAGCTTCTATATCTTGTTTTTCCATGATTTGGAATATATTTTAATAAATCCAATTTGCCTAAATACACATTTTATTAAAAAAAAAAAATAATTAGAAAAATACTGATTTTTCAAATATTTATTCCAGTAAATTGGTTATAAACTGTGTATTTCACCTAGATCTTAGAATCTTATTTTAGGAATTTATCCAAATGTATAAGTGACAAACTAATTGTTCCTGATCCTAATATTTTAATTAAAATAATTGGAGCAATCAGCAGGTTTTTTTATTTTAAACATAAATTTTAGGACTAGAATATTTTATTTTGTCACTCACAATACAAATATATTCTTATAATAATGATCTAGGTGAAAACACAGTTAATAACCAATTTATCTGAAATATATTTGAAAAACCAGTATTTTTCGAATTAATTTTTTTTATAAATAAAAAATGTCATCTTATTTACAATGAAGCAATTACTAATTACTTAATTTAAATATTTCTATAGTTATTGCTTCCAATTAAATAAAAAAGTTGAATCACTTAAAAAACTACAAAACTTGGATTTACTACTTTTCTGCTGAAATTGGCCGTTTGTTTATATGAACTTTTTTGTAGCTCTTGAGTTCTGCTATCACCCCTAAAAAATTTCCCTCTACTTAAGGGACACTCTGTATATGTCTATACAGGGTTTTTCAGGATTAAGTGGCCAAATTGCAAAAACAAGAAAAAATATTTCCTCTGAAGGTATGTCTGCAAACACTTTGTTTAGGAGATATTCACACCTAAAGATTTTCATTGTTATGAATTATTTACATTATAGGAAATACATAAAACCTATTTATTTGTTCTAACTACTTTATTAATTTAATATAAACATTAACATTCATATTAAATGTTGTTCAAAATGATTTCCTTGAGCATTAAGACAGGCTCTGCATCTTTCTTCAACAGCTGCAGTGGCAGAATGGCACTGGATATGTGTTATTGTTTAACAGGATCCAATTATCCTTCTTTGTAAGGAATTAAAGTCATTGACCAGACTTGCTCAATCATATTCCAATCAATGGATTGGCCATGCAAAAACAATGGTTTGGCCTAAACGCTCTCCAAACCTGACACCACTGCATTTTTTAGTTTGGGGTGACATTTAGGAAATTGAATCTTGTATGCTGAATGCTGCTGTAGAAGAAAAATGCCGAGCCTGTCTTAATGCTCAAGGAAACTTTGAAGAATATTTAATATGAATGTTAATGTTTACATTTAATTAATAAACTGGTTAGAACAAATAAATAGTTTTTTTAAATTTCATATAACGTAAATAATTCATAACAACGAAAATCTTTAGGTGTGAATATCTCCTAAACCTAGCGTTTGCTGACATACCTTCAGAGGAAATTTTTTTCTTGTTTTGAGGTCCTTAGTTCATTTTGGCCACTTAACCCTGAAACACCCTACACATTTTGTTTTGCACTGTTATGTTTTTCATTTTGACTAAATCTCCTGACAGTCATATCTTTGATTTATGTTAAATAATGCTTTTGTTGTGTTAAAATTTATTTATTTACATTCAAATGATGAAGTTATAAATAGTATTAATATTCTAAATGCATTTATTTCAATTTTTAATTATTTAATTTATTTTCAAATAGGAATGAGATTTGGACTACTTCAAACCAAAGTGGGAATAGTGACTCTACTTCGAAAATTTAGAGTTGAACCATGTGAAGAAACCAAGATCCCTCTAGTAATGGGAGGAGCTTCGGCCACCACTGCATCTGATGAGCCTGTTATTATTAAGCTTGTAGCAAGATCTTAAATGACAGAATAAGGATAAATATTTACTGAAAATGCTGCCATACTTCATCTTACAACCCCATATTTTTAATGTAAAATATAATTAAGTTTACTTGATACATGTATTGCCTGTCCCATTAAAGTTATTCATTTTAACTCAATATATGCTATTTAACTATGTGGCTTGACCAGTAAAATTGCTGAATAGTGAAAGAAAAAAAATGTATTAATCTCTTTAAATGTTCATGTTTTTACGTGATTAGCATGAGAGCATTACCACAATGAAGATAATGTGTTAAGCCTGGCCTTTTGCAGGTAAAGATTATTCGAGCGAACAGCAACTTGAGTATTTTGAAACAATTTGAGTTCAAAATACTGAAAAATATTTTATTATAAATATTTTAAGTACTTCAAATTTTAACTTATTAGGAAGTTTTTTATTCAAGCAAGAGGATATAAAGGTTATCTCCAGAACTAAAAATATCTAATCACATATTACACATTATACACCAGAGAACAGATTTGCTTTCATGTCTGACCATGTGAAGGGCATATCACCTGCTTAATTACATTTGATGTGCCTCTCAAGTCGCTCACAGATAAGAATATATACATTTATATTAATTTATTTTTTACTTTCACTTACCTATATACGTAATATATAGTAAGGGTAAGTATTGCGGATCGCGAAAATTTTTTAATCTGAGTTTTCAACGGAAATACACGTTTTGAGGTCCCCTGAGTCCAAATAACCAAATCCTGAAAAACAGTCTGTGTGTCAGTGAGTCTGTGTGTATGTGAACAGTAGCTCAAAACCAAAATTCATACGAAACTGACATTACGTATTTAAGACAGGTATATGCCTTAGATGTGGCTGCAACTTTTTCCTTAAAATCGGCTAACCGGAAGTGTCACTTTATATCAACGGTCAAATACATTTTTACAATTTTCTCAAAAATGACTTCAACAATTTTGATTAAACTCGATATATCACTGTATAATTAAGTGTTCTTTAATATCATTTAGGTCTCATCCCCATTGATGTCACTTTAAAGGTCTTAAATGCCTAATACGTCTTCCTCTAAAGCACTAGCGGATCCAGGATTCAATTTTGGGGGGAGGCTTCAGCTCGAAAGATTTTTTTTCATATTCAAATAACAATAATTAATTATAAAAAAAAGAAAGAAATTAACTACCTATATGAAATGGTGTTTAAGTGGTTCTTGAAGTCCTATTAAATGTAATTAAACGAAAAAGAATACTTTAAGAGATAGTTTTTAATATCTTTTTCTGTAAAGCATGGTTATATTTTACCATTTTGGAGGGGGCTTTAGCCCGAACCCTTCCTCCCTCCCCCTGTAGATTCACCTGTGCTCTAACGTACCTTTAATATGGTTTATTTTGAAAAGTTAGCTCTCTTTTATCGACAGTAACTACACAAAATGGATAAATATAAAGTTTGAAATAATATGATAATTGAAAACTAGAGAAAAAAAGAAAAATGCTTATTCAGAGGGAAAATGAATCTCCTGAAAAAGCAGTCAGAAGCACTAGCGGATCCAGGATTTAATTTTGGAGAGGGAGGCTTCAGCCCGAAAGATTTTTTTTTCATATACATATAACGATAATTAATTTTTTTAAAAAGGAAAGAAATTAACTACCTCTATGAAATAGTGTTTAATTGGTTCTTGAAGTCTTATTAAATATAATTACACGATCAAGAATACTTTAAGAGATAGTATTTAATATTTTTTTCTGTAAAGCATGGTTATATTTTACCATTTTGGAGGGGGCTTCAGCCCGAAAGCCTCCCTCCCCTCGTAGATCTGCCTGTGGTCAGAAGGTATACGTATAATAAATATATCGTTGGAAAGCTGAGAATTTTAGTAAAAACAATATCTAATATGGAAATTCTAATATATCTAAATTCTAATATCTAATCGAAATTCTAATATCTAATATATTATATTAAAAATAAATTGTACAGAAAAATAATATATATACAATAAATAAGAATAAAATAGCCTAAAAATAAAAAATAACACTATAACGCTATAAACTTGAATTAAAATTAAATAAATTTTCACTAATAAATTGTCCTTTTATATATTTTAGCAAGATTCACGGGCGGATTTACGGGGGGGGGGAGAGGGGCTTTGGGGCTGAACCCTCCCCAAAATGGTAAAATAAAAGCATGTTATTATAGGAAAAACTATTAAAAAATTCTCTTAAAGTATTATTGTTCGTGCGATTACATTTAAAAGAACTTTAGGAATCACTTAAACACCATTTCATAAAGGTAGTTAGTTTCTTTCTTTTTTTCAAAAGTAATTATCGTTATTTTTATGGAAAAAAAAATTTCGGACTGAAGCCCCCTCCCAAAAAAAATTAAATCCTGGATCCGCTAGTTGCAAGATTGGTCGTTTGTATGAAAATTGTTCCCTGTGAATATCGAGCTTAGAAATTGTTTAAGGTTGATTGAGTTAAATTTATAATACAATTATCATTGGTGGTAAAAATTAATGGCTATGAAAAACATTTGAGTGCTCCAGGGTCTCATAACAGGTATGGGTAGAAGAGTATACTTTGTTAAATCAACAAGTAAATGTGGACCGAATGATGTTTAATTGGGGAAAATACATGTTTTGTTAACTTACTTTTTTACGCGACCAAGCGAAGCAAAACGAGAGGTATGTGATTAGGTCGTCCACTAATAGCTATGTAACGCTTTTTTGACTGAACGCCTGGAACGATTTTTGAACGATGAAAGTTTGATGACTCATATTAATCGGTGAGATCCCCAGTGTTTTGAAACAATTCGAGCTGATAATTGTGACCCATTGATTAATAAAATGTGTTTAATGAATTTGCAAAAAGCTTTGTAACGCTGTATTGAGCTAGCGGCTGGATTCTTAAAAATTGATATTTGATAAATAATTGAATTACAAACCCAACCTCCGTTAGCTCGACATGTTTGATAGGAGGAACGAGGCCACGAAAACGACCTCGCTTCGTGTGAGCACAGATTAAAGGTATGATATAATGGATACTGCGGGCTGGTTAGGTAACAAATACTAACATGATCTAAGTGAATATTCAATGTAGTATGAAGACTGTCAAACAAATGTTATACATAAAAAACTGCCAAATCCCTTTCCAGTTTTTCAAATAATAAATATAAATAATATTAATTTAATTAGTTAGAACTTAACGGTTAGAAGGTACGTTTACTTCATATTCAGGTAGGAATATAAAGTTTTTTATAATTACATTGTTGATAGATTCTCGATTTAGACCTACAAAATCAAAAATAGTAATAATAACAATATAGAATAATTGTGAAGTATCTATAACTGAAGAAACTCGAGTTCAGTTTTAATTTAGGGATTAGCCGTAATAGCTGTAACCAAAGGAGCTACACATTAAAATTGTCACCAAAACCTCCTAATTATTTATTGAAGTAATTAAGTACAGATCTTCAACTAATGTAGTACATGGAGAAACTTATATGAATGAATGAATTAAATGAAATCTCTCCTAAACTAAACTGAGAATGATAGACCCCACTTACCTACTTAACAAATTTCTACCTAGTCAGAAAGTTATCTTGTTTAAACAATTTAATAGATACCAAAACCACTCGTAAGCAATTATATTGTATCGAGAAATTATAGTTCTAACAATATATTTTTTTATTCCTGGAATGGGTTTTCCAGATCAATTCAACGGTAGAGTTTGGAGTCAAGGTCAGTCAAGAGACGTGAAAATCGAAGCGAATAATCGATATACGAATACATTTTATATGTAGTACTACTATCGATATATGATGATTATTGTTGCAATAATTGAGCCTATAAGTTAATGTGAAGGTGCAGTATTGGTTGACAATTAAAATACTCTAAACTGTTTTATCCATTATTCGTTCCTAGCTTATATCCTCCATAACGTTAAAAATATCAATGACCGATAGAAATATTAATATTTTTTATATTTAGTTTCTTATACTAACATTTGAACTGCGATATGACCCAAATCTTTTCATGCAGATCTTTCGATATATCGATCTTCCAAAACGTTTATAAGCAAAACCGCTAATGCGTCATTCCGGACAGCTACGTCAAGAAGTGATTGTCTGACTTCAGTTGGCGTGAGTTCAAAACTATTTTACTTATATTTGTGAAATTTGATTGTAATAACGTAATTTTTCGTATATTTTGTTGTTTCAAAATAGATAACGAAGGTTTTCGATTAATCAACATACAAATGAGAATACTATTTTGATATAACGACTGTTTATTGGCGCGTCAGGAAAATCGTACCATTTTCAATGAATCTAGTTATTTATCCATTAAATTAATGTACTTCAGCAGTTGAATTTTAAAATTGGTCTTTTCTGAATATAAGATAAACATAAATTCACATACTTGTTAGGTAATTACCAGCTAACTTATGTTTTTTCACAATGAAAGTCAAAATTTATTTAAAAAGCCCACCTTAAAAAAAGTAATTCATGATTATTTAATTGTTAGTACTAATAAATATAGTTAATAATAATCAGATATCGTGGCTTAGTTCAAGTTTCGACGATCTTTTTAACCTGGTTTATAGAAGTCAAACTCTGACATTAATGAAAATAAAGTGACATAGTTCTGACTTGAGATTCACGACGGTAATGGTAAACAGCCACAAAATTTATCGTAGAGACAAACTAAAGGTTCCAGGGACAAATTTTCTTGATTTTCTAACACTATTACGGTTTTTATACAGTATAGGAAGAGACTAAGTTGTTTTCTGATTTTTTTTAAAATGAATTGTATTGTCTTTTTTTAGAGATTAAATTTTATTTACCGTACTCCATTGTTTTCTTAGATAAGATAGTTTGATTTACTTTCTCATTATACTTGTGTTGATAATTATTATTCCGTTGTATTATTCATTTTTAAAGTTATTGCTACAAAGTTAGTATATATAGTACAAATCTAACCACATTCAAAGCATTTTAAGAAGGCATCATCTTTCTGATGGTTCTAGTGCTAAATTAAATAGGATATGTGAAAAAGAATCACCTGATTTTAAACCTAATTGAAAACAAATTGCGTAAAAGATGTTAAGAGGAGGCAGTTTCTCTAGGTGGAAGAATTTAGGGGTACCAAATTTCGAAAATTATTTTTTACCTTAAGTAGAAATATTTGTTTCTACTTCTTGATTCTTTTAACTCTAATTAATTTCATAACACGATTTAATTATATCTGATAATGCATTTAGAAATATATTGCCTACAAACTGTTTTTATTTGGGGGAAGGCAAAATTTAGCTTACATCTTCTGATTGATGCCAATCAGAAAATAGCGCCAATGGCATCGATGCAACACATTGGGCCGTAGAGGCTGTGGGAGAAGCAGTACAAAAACATTAAAAACAAAAATTGTCTTTTAAGCGTTAATTGCTTATTTATTGTAAGTGTAATGTTCCGTTCGTTTAAGAGTGGGTTTGAAATACGTTGCGAGATTAAGTTTTGAAATTAAGTGTGCCACCACACGGAAAAATGATAAAAACCTAGGCATAAACAGAATTGGTTACCAGCTAAAAATCTAACAATAAAAAAATTCTCTGTGCTTAGCCAATTAAGAATCGGACATACTTAATTGACACATCTATATACCTGCTATTAGGCCTTCACCATCCCAGGGGTCCCCCCAAGGTCGATGGCGCAAGAACCTATCTTCCCTTCTCTAAAGATATTTTATTGCTCATCTTTTCTTAAAAACAGTAAGTTAAGGTAGAATTAAAAAAATCGTAGATCATATACAATTACACATGCTGCGGTATGTATGGCACCCCTGCACCAACCAACTTGTCAATCATGTGACAATGTAAATCTCACCGTTCAACATTTCTTTTTCTCTTCTTCAACATTTATTTCAATGCAATGAATATCATGTAAATGATCTAAACTAAAAATTGAAAACATCGTCCCATATAAAGAAACTGAAAGAATTAAAAAGCACTTCACTATATTAAACTAATGAAATTGACGAATTATATCTAGGAAGACAATCTTCGCTAATGGCCTCGATAATCGAAGTGAAGTTAAAACTCGCAAATAGAACAAAAAAATTGAAATACAAACACTTTCTTTCTCTTTTACAATCACAGCGAATGCCAGAGACTTTTAATAAATATATATCTGCATTAAAGTGAAGACTTCACGATTGAAGTCATGACCAACAGCTAGGCATTAAATAATTTGATGGTATAAGAGGTTGGGGATCATTTCTTCCCTTCCCCCCCCAAAAAAAATAGAGAAGGGGCAAGAATATTGTTTCGCTCTCTTTTTCCCTCTCCTCTCCCTAATATTTCGAAGAATAAAAATAAAATCAAAATCAATAACAATTAATCTACATGAAGGAGTAACTATATAGACCGCAATCAATTAAGTAAATAGGAAAAATCGCCTATATGGTTAAACTAAGGTCTAAAGGTAGCTACGCAAGTATTTTACCTTGCCCTTTGTTTCTATTTTTTTTTTACTTTTTGTTCACCCCTAACCTCGCATTTTAGACTATAGGGGTGTTTCCCTGGGCAAGGGGGAAAGGACGAGGGGTTAATATCAGAGTTAAAAGCCCCCCTGTTACTGGGTTATTTTAGGGATGCCCAGAATGGGATTTAATGACGCAAGTTGCGCCATCGAAATATTTGAGGGAGTTATATTTTGACGGGTTCTTGAATCTATTATATAATGTTATACATAAACTTATTTTTATATATAGTTAGTTTTACAATAATTACGTTGATTATATTAATTATCATTCATAATTGTTATACATAATATAATAATAAAACTTCCGAGACTTTTTTTGGATGGTCCATCGACTAATAAAAAAAAAATTAAAAAGGGTATGAGAATAAATAATTTTAGCTTATTAATAAAGTAACTGAATTAGAGACATATTGAATTAAATACATTCGAAACATTACTACTTCATATAAAAAAGTTTAAGAAATCAATAAAATTCTTTGGAGGAAGATGTGATTGTCCGGGAGCACTAATGTCTAAGGGTGGACCTGCTTAGAAGGATTTTTGGGTTTTAGACAAAGTTATAGGTTGCATTTTTGGTGAAAGAAGGGAGGATGTTCACTACTATGCTGAACAGAACAACTGGACTTATACTTTTCACAGAAATACACTCAGCTGCTTACACTATTTTTCTGTTTAAATTAAAAATAAAATAAATATTTATGTTAAGCTACAGTATTATAGTATGATATTACATGTCATTATTTATCTATTATTGATTAAAAATGATTGTCTGTTTGACAGAATATTATATTACCCAATAAATAAATAAGAAAAATTTTTCGATTAAATGGACTCTTTTATTTGAATATATTTGTTCTAAAAATGTTCTGACTGCATATACTTTCTTAGGCTACTTTCATTTAAATCAGGTTCTTTATTTATTTGTTTTAATGTTTGTCACCAATCTTTGGCATTCCCCTAGCCGCGGTGCCCTGGAGACGACTGGTGTAAGGTATACTTAATTAGACTGAGTTGCTAGATTATTGTTCAACAGTTAATATCTCAACATTCAATCTTTTCTTACCACTGTTCTGTTTAAATCAATAATCTTCCTTACCCTCTTCTGGTTCCAGTCTGAGGTGGAACATATGAAATAATTTTGGAAGTCAATACCCGATAATTTACAAGTTTTATGTTTCTTTCCTTACATTTTCAGTCTTTTCTTTTCTCTCCATCTTTGTTTGGCTTGTTTGTACTCCTGCTCAGACATGTCTTCTACTTCTAATAAAGGTTTGCTTTTAGCTCACTCTCTGGTATTTAGGAAATGAGAAACATCATAAAAAAAGAGGAAGAGACCCTATCTTTTTAACTTGTATCTTCTGGTTTACTCAACCTAATGGAATGGACCTAAATGAATTTACAAATCTTCAGACAATCATGCTTTGAATCATATTCAAAGTTTTAAGTTATGATTATAGCAGAAATTCAAAATTCAAAACATTTATCTGTTATAAATAATTATAAATGGAATAATTCAAAAATGATTTTTTTATAAATCATCATAAAAAATTAAATATTGCCACCACACCCCCAGCACTAGCGGATCCAGGATTTAATTTTGGGGCGGGCTTCAGCCCGAAAGCTTATTTTTTCATAAAAATAACAATAATTCCTTTGGTAAATAAGAAAGAAACTAACTACCTATATGAACTGGTGTTTAAGTGATTCCTAAAGCCCTTTTAAATGTAATTACACGAATAATTATACTTTAAGAGATCATTTTTTAATATTTTTTGCGATAAAACATGGTTATATTTTACCATTTTGGGGGGGCTTCAGCCCGAAAGCCCCCCTCGTAGATCCGCCCGTGACCCCCAGGATATACTTGCAGCACAATAGGGTGTCACATCACCCAGTTTAAGAACCTCTGGTGTGTTAGTATTGGTCTATGATACTAACGGTTTGAAGTTTAAAAGATATGTGCCTTATTTGAAAAACATATATTAAGTATGAAATCTCAACAATGCGATAGGACAGTAACAGAATAAGCAATACTCAAACTTCTTAAATTTATTTAAAAATTTTTATTTTAAAAACTTCTAGTGTTTCGACAGCAATTTATTAAGATTCAAACAAACAGCATATATAATGCTTAATACTTCCAACATTGCTATAATTTGCCTGTTAGTGTGGTTTCAAAGTCTTTAGACAGCTAATTAACAAATTAAATTATAATGGCTCAGGTATATCTGGAACGTTATCTTACATACTCCCAAAAAAATATATAGGTACTTTTGTTAACCACCAGCTCAAACTTAGAAGCTAAACGAATTAGGTTCTAGGTTCATACAAAAGTATTTATCACTTGTATGAAAAAAAATTGTATAAACTAAAAGAATGAAAACAGTGGTCTCAAAGATAATCTATTTTTTTTTTTTTGTGTATTACTCTGTCAACTTTAGAAGAGTACTTGACTTTATTAATAATGAACAATCATTTGTAATTAAATTAAAAGTTCAAGTTATATGAAACCAGCAGGAAGTAAGAAAAATACTATTATTAATTAATTAATAAAATACTAATATTAATTACTACCATGAGTTCGTAAATCTATTATTATTCCGGGACCAGACGGAGTTCTGATCTTCACGATAAAGTATTATGATATTTCCCAAATAATTAAGATAATTGCGGAGATTGTGAAATGAAATGAAAATATTTTTTATTATCCTGGGACTGTTGTCTCCTTAGGAAAATTACAGATACAGAATAAATGCCTGTGTGGCCATACATAAAATTAATTATTTACATTTATTATTAAGATTAAGATTTTGAAAAAATAATAAAACAAAAAATATAACTATTACACTAAAAACATTCTGATATGTATATTGTGCTGAGGGTGGCTTAGGTACCAGAGCCTCTGGGTTAAGGGCGCACACTCTTGGTCTACAAAGGAAAGCGTGATGCCAACAGCATATCATCATGGTGACCCATTACCATTTATTCGATTGTGTGCCGAATCATTGAAAAGGTTCTGGACCAAGAATTGGGGAAACAGATCACCTTCAGCAAAAATCAGAGAGGTTTCATCAGGGGCCTGCCAGGAACACATGTCAGCGCAAAAGTCATCGATGCGATCATAAAGGATACCAAATGTAAAAAGAATGATTGCACGGTGGTGTTTCTAGATGTTGTCGGCGCTTTTGACAATGTTGGTCACGACCATATCATCAGTTCACTGGAGGCAAGAAGGCTCTCACCAGACTTGAAAGACTTGATTGCGGCTCTACTGGGTACTAACTCAATTAAGATTGGAGTAGGAGCCCACGCGACAAGCTGGATCAAAGTGTGGCGAGAAGTACTCCAAGGCAGACCTTGTCTCCTTCAACTGACCCTTGTTCAACTTGACTATAGACCATCTATACTGTGACCTGTGTGAGCAAGAATTTTCCAAGCATTATGGATACAAGCTTATCAGCGAACAAGAATGTGTGGTCCTCACAGGCTTCGCGGATGACCAGGCTGTTTCAGCACGCGACAAGTGTCAGAAAGGATAATTAATGAGGCAGAGAGTCTGAAACACCAGCCCATGTGCTGGGGAAATGCCCCAACAACTCCCTCCTCATAACACACCGGCACCATAGGATAAAAGTCTAATTTATGAGGCTCCTTAGGGAAAGGGAATTCACATGCTTCGACAAGGTCTATTGTATTGGTAGTGATGGATCAACAAGATACACGGATATAGTTGCATTCTCCAGGACCGGAAAGGCAGCACTGGATACCAATTTTTTTTTTTTTTCTTTGCCCTATAAATTTCAGAAATTGTCTTGTATCGGTTTTATCGAAATATGAATATATTGTATAATTATAATTGTGTGTATTAGTATATTATAGTATTGATATTGTTTATGCTGTGTAATATGAAAAAGAATTTGTATATATATAAACATATGATTAATTATAATTAAGTCCTATATCCAAAAAAAAAAAGGAATGATGAGTATGCTGTGTATCAAGCAACCCTATATAGTAGGGAAGCACTGCTTTAAATAAAGTATTTCTCTCCCTATTTATTATGTGTGTGTGTGAGTGTGTGTAAACTTTTATACCAACAAGTTTTTTTTTTCAGGATTCTCATATAATAGTAGGTTGATACTCCTACAGAAGTGGTGTGTACTTCACTGATTTAATATATGATATATTGAGCTGATGTTAATTCAATATTTCTATAAATTTTAGATACAACATGTTGCTTGGTGTGGCTGTTATTGTAAGCTTGTTATGGCTCTTTTATAAACATTGGGTATCAGTCTATAGTCACTGGAAGAAGAGGAACATACCATTTTACCCAGCCAAATTCCCTTATGGTAGTGATCCAAACTTGGTGAAATTAAAAGAATACAGAGGCTACACTATTGATAAGGTTCACAATGTTAAAAACTTTATTTAAATAAACAGTTTAAAAAAATTGACTATAAAAATCTGTTTCTAGATGTATCACAAATTTGCTTCACATCCAATGTTTGGAGTTTTTTCTCTAAGGAGTCCAATGCTGATAATCAAAGACCCAGAAATAATTCAGCTGGTTTTGACAAAAGAGTTTTCACACTTCAGAGACAGGGGCATTATTAAACTGTAATAATTTCTGCTTTCTCTTTACTTTATTACTGTAATGTGTAATCTTTATTACAACTACTGATTATCATTTTTAATTTTGACAGAAAAAGTAAAAATTAACTCTAAAATTGTGAATCAAAAGTTATATATAAAAAATTGCAATGTTTGCAGCCCTGAAAAAGACGTATTAAATCATCATTTATTCCATCTTGGAGGTGAAAAGTGGAGAGCTTTAAGAATGAAACTTACTCCTACATTTACCAGTGGAAAACTGAAAGCTATGTTTCCACTTTTTATCAGTTGTGCTGAGGTAAATTTTGTTTTCATTAATACCATATATGAATTATGTCTCTAATTTTAACCAAATTGTTGGCAGTCTGCAATATTTTTGAATAGGTGATAGTGAATTGTAAAACTTCAAGTTATTGCTTGATTTCAATTAAATATATTAATGCAGTTAATGTTTTGGGATTCTTACATCTTCAGTACTGTGATTCTATAATTCATAACATTATTCTTATTATTATTTTTTTCTCTTCATGCCTTCATGCATCTGTCATGCTAATGGCATGACAGACATGAGGAAGTTATTAATCACATCTGACAATAATATTTTAAATTATGTACCTTGACATCTTGATTAATTGAATATTTACCTCTTACTAGTCTCATCAAACCCTACAATTATATTGTAAAAAAAAACTATAATAAATTAAATGTTGTAGTTAAAGAACATGTTAAAATAAGAGCTGCCTATTCCGAATCTCTTTATTGTCTCAACTGTAGTACTGAAGATTATAATTAGTATCATAAATTTATTTTTTATTATTTTATCCATCTCCCACATATCTTTTTAATTATCTTAAAAAATATCCAAATTCAAGAAGATGACACTCAAACAATTATTTGCAATGTGAAAAATTTATTCGCTAACCTCTTGACAGAAGGAAGCACAAAATTAGTAAAAATGATTGTGAAAATATTTAAAATAACTATGGATAGACTAAAAAAATATATAAATAAAGAATACTGAACACTAGAAATCAGCAAAATATAATTAAATAACTTCTAAAACTAAGAATTAGAACTAAGTTTGGTCTCAGAACTTCTCTATTCATGTGTAGTTTTACCTTATTTAGTTTTTGTAGTCAGCTGATAAATTTACATATATAGGGTCATGGAGAGAAACCAAGGGCTCCCCCTATATTTTACCAATTATTATGTTTAACACTAAAACCCAACCAAATCCTTCTATAATATATGGAACAAAAATATTATGTAAAGGTATTACATATAAATGTTCTTTATAATTTATTATTTGGAAATTCAGAAGTTCAAAAAAAAAAAATTTTGTGGAATAGGCCATGCTTGCTGGCTATACCTCTCATCAAGCTTGTAAAACTATAGCTATTGCTTGTTTTGTTCAATACATTTACAATAAAATGTTTTATACGTTTAATCTATATGTTTTTAAAAAATATAATTTTTATACAATATAATATCGTGAAGAAAAACAAAATTCCAAATTAGCTAATGAGAGTTTCTGTGAAGAATTATTAGAAGTAACTATTGTAGTACTGAAGTGCTTTTGTTTAAATAAGATGTTTCATCATTAAGATATTAGAAATTAATTACAATTTACAACTTGCTAAAAATTTCAATTGGAAGTGATTAGAAGATGGAACTATATTTGAATAAATAAAAATAAAATAAAATAAAATATGTGATTTTGTATCATTCTAAATATCCAAAATAGACCATACAATTATTTTTTTATTGTTCGCAGAGTTTCAGCTCCCTTTTGTTATCTAAAGCTGATTCAAAAATTGATATAAAAGAACTAATTGGTCGTTTCACAGCAGATGTTATTTGTAGCTGTGCATTTGGCTTGGAAATGGATGTCATAAACCACCCAGATAGCAAACTTAGAAAGATTGGGATGGAAAGAATAAAATTAACATTTCTAACAAAATTAAAAATTGCTGTCACTCGATTATTTCCAGCATTGTCAGCATTATTAAAAATAAGGTATTTTATTCAGCTCATATTTTATTATATAAAGGTTTTGGTTGACTAGAAAAAAAAGGTCATACACAGTGACGTCTGATTCACAAAAGTAATATTGTTTTTCTTGGGCTAATATAACTTAATTTTGCATTGTTGTATACTACTATTATTGTTAATTTATTTATTTAACACTTTATCAACTACAGTGGGCACTCCCACTCGTTGATTTGCCCAAGAGACCATAGCGAGCGTATACGTTTGTAAGGTTGTGACTAACCGTGGGTGCACAAATAAATATTTAAATCTTGAATTGAAATGAAACTGAAAAATACGGTATCTGTAAAGAGGCAGAAGTCCCATGACACATATTGTTTAAATGTAGAAAATATTAAAGAGAATATGAATTAGCAGCAGAGAAAGATGCAACATTTTTAAAAAACTTTGGCAGAGAGAAGATTAAGAACATTGAAATTTTTTTTTAAAAATACACAATGTCAAATTTAGTTTAGGTGGAAATTGGAAGGAATCTAGAAATGTACATATATTTCTTATTGACCATAAATAAATTGTATATTGACCAGAATAGGATTTTTAGACAAATCTTGTTGGTCATTTGTAACAATAAATAAATAAATAATAACAGATGGCGTAAACAGATAGTGCCATAAATAGATTTGTAGAGAAACTACCCATTTTTAGCACACCAATAAAAGTAATATATCCTTTGTGAAAGTGTAGGAGACCAATCAGGAATTGAAGAAAAAGAAAGGTTAGAAACTAGTGGGTTCTGATGAGGTTGCGTTTAACGATGAAAGGATAGGTATCTGGATTGGGCTATTCATGAAACATTAAAGTCATTGTGGATAATTTAATTTGTGACAAATTAAGGCATATTCAGAATTTTACAAAGGATTTTGGATTATTAAGGTAAAATACAAAAGAAGTTTGATGGTTTAGTGGAGCTGCAGAGCTCAACTCAAGTCTAAATTAGCCTAGTAATGTAGGTGAGCTCTTTGTATTTAATCTGGAGCTAAGATAATTTGTATAGTTATTGCTGAAGTAGCCCAAAACATTGAGCAGTTTCTTGTCTTTTCATTCTTGTATGAGAATTCCAAATCAGGCATTTCAGTTCTATGTTGCAGATCTGTTCATCAGAGTAATTAAAATATTATTAAAGGAAACTGTATGACAGAAATTCAAAGGGTAAAGGTGATTTGATAAGCTTTGTTTAATTTTTTTTTAATCCTTCAATTTTGTTGTGATTAAAAGGTTCGGGATGCAATTAATGGGTCATTATTCACTGGTAACACATTTGTCATAGTCATACGTGGTTATATCAGTGTTAAGATGGATTGGAATGCCAGCTGCATAAATTAAATAGAGGATAAGATACTTTTTTTGTGCATTAGTTGATGGTTGGTGATGTCTTATCATCAATTTTGTTTATAAAATGTCAATACCTAATTAATGTTTTGAAGCATATCAATTGAAAGTTTGATTTTAACAGGAAGTTCGATATTCTTGTTAATTTATTCAATGAGAAAATGTTTCCATTTTTCTTTTTGGCTTAGTGGCAGTTCTGGAATTTGTGTATCAATCCTTGTTCTACCAAATTATTAATAATTATTATCTTTATAGAAGTTTGCAGTGTCTAATTTTAAATTTGGTTTTCTATACACTTAATAAAGATTTTCCATTTACAAAAGTATTCTTAAAGAATGATGTAGAGATGGTTGACTGTGATATAATATGAGAAGGAGTTCGGGGTGTGGTCCAATAAATACTAAATTTTAAAAAAATAGTATTTTTAATTGTTTCGACCCACCTTGTAGGTATTCATCAAAGATACAAAATATAAAAGGTACATGGTGAAAATAAAATAAATTAATTATAAGTAAACATTAAACAAGAAACAGTTGTCTGAAAAAGAAATAATAAGATGAAATCAGATGACATCACCCACTTTATCTCTGATGTCATCTTATTATTTCTTAATCAGACAACTGTTTCTTATTTAATATCTACTTATAATTCATTTATTTTATTTTCACCATGTACCATTTATATTTTGTATCTTTTTTAGTCCTGATGAAGACCTGCAAGGTGGATCGAAACAATTAAAAATATTATCATTTTAAAATTTAGTATTTATTTGACTGCACCCCCGACCAACTCCTTCACATATTCTTAAAGAACATTAGACTGTTTCAAACAACTATTCTAGCTAATAATAATCTTGCTTATATTAAGATACCAAAATTTTGGCACAGCAATGTTATGCAATAGATTGAATAATTGAATTGAACTTTATAAAACAAAGTTTATACACTAAAATTTTTACAGGTTTACTCCTTTAGAGGATGAAAATTACATCATAAATCTTGTTAAGAATATAGTAGAACAACGAGAAAAAAATGGCATTGTAAGAAATGATTTCATAGATCTCTTAATGCAATTAAAAGATAAAGGAAATATTGGAGATGATGGACAGGAATTTGAAAAACCTTTTGGTATAATTATTTGATTGCTTATCCTAACATATTCATTTTTTCTTTTGAAAAATTTGGGATTTATCATTATGTACATTCATATCATTTGTATATTTAGAAATGACATTGGAACTAATGGCAGCACAATGTTTTGTCTTTTTTCTTGCTGGATTTGAAACTTCAAGTTCATTACAAAGTTTCTGCCTCTATGAACTAGCACTTCACCAAGATATTCAATCAAGAGTAATTAAAGAGATAAATGAAAAAATAGAAAGGAACAATGGCCTTACATATAAGGCTCTGCATGAAATGGAATATCTAGATATGGTCATATCAGGTATATAGCTTAAAATAAAATTTAAACATTTTGAGTGTTTATTATAAAATACTTGTTGAAACACATACACACACTGTTACTTTAGAAGAAAATCGGCACAACTCAAAAATTAAAAATTCCGAGATTAGGAAAAAATTAATCTAGCAAAAAACAATAGATATATATGGAATATATAAAAAACGCTGAAACAATCATTTATAAATGTATAATTGTAGATGAATAAATCAAATTTCTCCCCAAAATTAATAATGCACCATTAGCAAACATTTGTTGTAAGCATAGATTAATTCCTTAGGTGAAGGACATAACCAGAAGGAGGGCTATTGTTTAAGAGGGACAATTGATTTAAGGGTGGAGGAATTAATCTTTATTTTGTTATTAGTTTCTTTCAGAACTAAAAACCAGAACCTATCATTTGTGATCAAATTTTCGGAAATTCATATTTCTTATTTATTATTCCTACTTTTTAATGTTTTTCCTCATTGGAAGGTGCCCAATTGATTTCAGCCCTTCAGGTACACCTAACCTTGAATCATAAACCTCCAAAAGAACATTGACTCAATTCACTTTCAAAATTTCCATCCTATGATTTTATTTTGAGAGGCTGTAAAGGTGCCTAAATTTCAAAAACTGAGAAAAACTACTTGAATATATTTATAAATTGACCAAATTAATACAAACTTTTATGATATCGTATTGTATCATTCTAAAATACCGCTAATTCTACTTAAATAAAAAATAATAATTCTACATATTAAATAACTCTAAATTATGTTGTAAAAAATTACTTCATTATTTCTTATTTATTAATTGTATAAATGTGATATGCATTTTATTAATGTTAATTATTTATAAAGCATAAATAATTATAACAATAAAGGTGACAACACCAGTTTAGAACAAAGAGTAGCAAGGTTATGCTTGGCTTGAGCTGTTCATCCTGCATTGGGGCTGAGGTCTCCAAATTAGGATCGTGGGTAATCACCTTCAATTTGGCTCACGAAACTTTCTTTGATTATATGATAAAATTTTAAATTCTTTTTGAAAATATAAAATTTAGTAAATTATTCGCACACGAGATTACTACAACATATGCACAATTACTACAATAACGCATGCTTTTTTTTCTCATAGAAAGCTCATTTCATAGCTGAAGTGTCATTTATAGAACAAGATTATTTTTTCTCATTACAACCCATGGTCCGCGCAACTTGGATGGAGGTTTCACTATGGCCCGTGGGCCAAAAAGTCTGGAGACCCCTGCATTAGAGTAATATTGAAACTCAATGTTTTTTCTTTTAATGTGCTACATTCTTATCACAAATTCTACCTAAATCATTTTACCTATAGTTTTTTGAAATTATAAATTTTAAATTTGATTTTAATAGTAAAAATTAAAATTATATATAGGATGGATATGGTCCGGGATGCGGTCATAAATAGAGCAGTTCTAAGTGAAACTCCTAGCTGAATACACCTCCCTGAAGAGGACCTGCAAAGTCAGGTCGAAACGTTGGCTTTTAATAACATAGTTTTGCCACTATTTAGTCTATTTATGACCGTCACCCCGGACCATCTCCTTCCTTTATAATGCAACTGTCAACTATTAAATATTCTATTAAAATTATATATATATTTGTTAATAGTTCTAAAGGTTTGAAAATTGATTAAAAAAACTTAGTTTAAATCTTACAAGAAAATAATTTAATCAAAAATTATCATACAAAAAAATCATTTATACAACAAAAAAAATCTGGTGTGTCCACTCACACGACTTTCCTACCTATTTCAGAAAAGTTTTTATATCTTTACATTTGTCCATCAAGAAACAAAAAAAAATTGAATTAGATTTGTTTTCCTGAAAATTGATCAAAGAAAAGATTTGAATACGATTTATTTAACAACTAAATTAAAGCAATGTAAACCGGCTTAAGTTAGATCAGTATAAAATTTTCAATACCCTCTAATATTGCTGATCAAAAACTTTTTTCTATTGCCTAATTTTGTAAAACAATAATTTCTGTTAAAAGTAGAGGAAATAGTGAAGCTAGTTTGATGCGGGCTACTGATTTCCTTACTTTCTCTTAGTTATCTTTTTTCTCTCATTCACCACTTTCTGACACCAGGATATGAACCCGTAATGTTACATTGGAAATTGAATAGTTGTAACTTCGTTAATGGTTTTCCGAAATGAACGATTTTTATATAGTTTTGTAGGAAATTTCATTATTTTTCCAAAAAAAAGCCAGGCTAAACAGTGATTTAGATGATCCTATTATAGGTAGGAAAGTAATAAATTAAAATATGTGTAGAAAATAGAATAAGCTGTATAATCGCTAATACTGGTTCGATACCGATGATTATTTTTTTTTGTTTTGTTGGTAATTTAATTACCTTTCAAAAGTTTTATTATAAATTTTACCATAGAATATATTCTTAGCGAGTTAGACCCCAAAACATTTTTCTTTTCTTTATAAATTTTTTTCCTTAATTTTCTCGGACATTTAGTCCATATACGAAAATTGAAAGAACAATTATTAGAACATTACAGGAAAGTCTCATAAAATTGTTAGAGCTGTTTTCACGCTACAGTCTATTGAAAAACATGTTTTTCATTAATTGTGCAGCAGCTATTGCGCATGGAGCACCCAATTTGTGTTGCAGGCATTAGTAGTCAAAACCCTACAAAATAAAAAAAGAGGCCCCTAAAAAATCGGCTCACTAGTTCCTGAGAAAATCTTGGCACAGACAGACAGACCAGTGGCTAAAAAATGTTTTCCCGACTCAGGGGACTCTGAAACGTATAGATCTGTCGAAAACTGCATATCGGAAATTAGACCTGATCGCAATACTTTCTGTACCTAGTATGGTAGTAAAGTAAAAAACATTTATAGTAAAATATAAAATGATTTTCTAATGAGGAAATTTCATGAATTCTAATTCAAAATTATTATTTTTAGTTCTACTAAATATATATTATTCTATCAACTTATAGTTATCTTCACATCTTGTTTATTTTATTTTACTGATTGTTCTTCTGACTTGTATTACTTAATGTTTCATTTTTTTTTTTTCTCATCCTCCAAAGATTTTATTATACAAATACAATATATATTTAGAACTTTATTCATATACACCCATTTCTACTTTTTCCTCATACTGCTCCATTAAATTTTAAGGAAGGAAACTTAATATTCCATTCCATAGCTTTGTTGTTTCTTACTCTGATTCCAAAAATCAATATTGCCAAGAGACCGGTGGAAATGGTAATAAATAAATAAATAGTCCCATTACCTGATAAAGTTAATAATAGTTTATTTTACTCTACACATAAATAACATATATATGTATTAATATTTAATAACCATGAAATGATGTATAGTAGGATTTACATAATTATTGGAATAAAAGTTCCCGAAGATAAAAAAACAAAAAAAAAAAAAACCCTCAAAACATTGACATCATGATATACTCATATTTTCATAATAATAGCAATAAAATATTATTAACAAAGATTTTCATTTCTTAACTATCTGCTGATAAAAAAGTTATAATTTTCCAGTTTCTGATACCTAAATATAGATTAATAAGTTTTGTTTTATGAATGTCTTGCATTTTGTACTAACTAATTTATTTACTTTAATAGAATTACCATTAATTATCCAATGTTTACATGTGTTGTCATTATTATTTCATTTCAGAAACATCTAGGAAGTACCCAACAGTACCAGTCTTAAATAGGTATTGTACAAAGACTGTAACTCTGCGTTCTGGTCAAAAAATAGAGCAGGATACTATGATCATCATTCCTGTTTGGTCTTTGCACCATGATCCTCAATACTTTTCGGATCCAGATAAATTTGACCCTACACGGTTTTCACAAGAAAACAAAGACTCTATTGTTCCTTACACTTATTTGCCATTTGGGGAAGGACCTAGAATGTGTATTGGTAAGGACATGCTTACTAGTTTAATTATTATATTTACAAAAATTAAGTGATTTGGTAATAAAATATCTGACCATGTTTGAAATCTCTGTGATGATGGTCAGGAGGATGGGTGAGGTGTTGGTGAAAATTAAGCAGTTACAGTTATAGTCATAGAAATTGCATTACCTTTTCTTTGATTCTTACATTAATAACATCGATTCCATTGAATGTTTTTCTTTACTTATTTAGGTTACAAGAAAACTTAAAAAATGTTACTCAGTTCAGTTTTCAACTAATACCAGGATGAAAGCTGTATTTATGACAAGTTTCAAAAAAGTGCTCTCATCAGAAAATTTGAAAATTGAGATGTTACAGGAAGTGAAAGAATTTTCACAGGAAATATCGACAAGGAAAGGGTACCACCAATCAACGGTAGTCATAGTTTTGAAAAAACAATTTTTTCGATGGACCATGGAGCGAAAGAAAAGTACTGGGTGGAGAAAAAACAGACGAACTATTTGACCATTTAATGATGCGATTGTTTTTAGAATATTGTTTCAAAACTGGCAAAGAAATATCCAGAGATCTTGGAGATGGCAATCTGGTAAATAAAATAAAAATTTTACTGGATGATGCAATTTCTATGAGCATGACTGTATACATTGTTGGTTTATTGCAAAAAGTCACTAAGTACATTTTTGTTGTAGATTAACTTTCAAATATGTTTTTTTGTGAATTTTGGCTTTATTTATCGATACTTACTCATATTTATCAAAAATTACTCAAACCCTTCAATATAATATAGTTATAACAAACGCACGATTTTCTGATTTCATAAAGGGAAAATTCTTCAAAGTATATAATTATTTAAAGTTATTATGAAATTCATTTAATGATTTTTTGCCATAAACTGATGATATTAGAGTATTGTTTGTCAGTACTATGGTTTTCTCCTTGACTAACTTTTCTGACAATAATCTTCTAGATTAAAGTTAAATAATGTTTTGTTGTTTTCAAAATATTTTGTTTATATTAAAATGATTAAATAAGAACAAATTTTTAATTTTAACGAAACAATAGATTCTCAATTTTTATTATTTTATTTATTTGCAAATAGGAATGAGATTTGGACTTCTCCAAACCAAGGTGGGAATTGTGACTCTCCTTCAAAAATTTAAGGTAGAGCCATGCGAAAATACCAAGATCCCTCTTGTAATGGGAGGAATTTCGGCCACTACTGCATCTAATGAGCCTATTATTATTAAACTGATAAAAAGATCTTAAATACATTTTTGTTTCCATTAGGGGAACATTGATAATGCTGTCATTCATTTCCTTATTGCCCAATCAGTATTTTGAATGTAAAATTCAATGAGGTATACTATATATGTATCACAACTCCCATTAAATTAATTTATTTTTACTCAATCTATTATATTTAACATTATAGTATGATATTTCAAATGTCCATCTATTTTATGTTTAAAATTTTTTATTATATTTAAGAAATAAAAATGGAAACATTGTTTGTTTTCCTTCCTATTATGTACCCTGGATGATAAAGTTCTTAATGTTACAGCATACATACTGCTTATTACATTGATTTTTTACTTTCATTTACCTATACATGAAATATATAGTAAGGGATAGTATTGCGATTCTGGAAATTTTTGAGTCTGAGTTTTCAATGAAAATACTTGATTTGAGGTCTTCTGAGTCCAAATAAGCAAGTCCCACAAAATGGTCTGTGAGTCTGCATGTCGTTGTATGTGAACACTCCAGCTCGAAAACGAAAAGTCGTACAAAATTGATATTACGTATTTAAGATACATATATGCATTAGCTTATTTTGAATCATTTAATAGTAAAGAATTGAGTAATAATAATGTTGTTAAATAATTAAAGGTGAACATGACAATAATAAGGAATTTTATTATGAGTAGACGCTTGCAATTCGCATAAGTGAAAATGACAGGTACATGATGGGTATTTTAGGTACATAATAAGTATCTTTATAATTTGAAATATGTTAAAGTTAATATATGATTGTAAATGAAAAATTTTTTTTAGACTTGAAAATGGCTCGACGAGCAGAAACGTCGTCATTTTGATGAGTAGTCATTAAGTGACATAAAATTTTTTTAAATTGGTGTAAATATGGCTAATAATAAATTAACTTGAAAATTAATAGTATGCACCGAAGAAGAATTGAGTAATATTGTGTATATGCATTAGATGTTCTAGCAACTTTTTCAATAAAATCGGCTTGCCTGAAGTGCCACTTTATATCAACGGTAAAACGCTTTTTTACAATTTTCTCAAAAACTGCTCTAACCATTTTGATTAAACTCTGTCTATCATTCATTGTATAATTAAGTGATCTTTAATACCATTTAGGTCTTATCCCCGTTGATGTCACTTTACAGGGCTTAAATGCCCAATTTTTCATTATAAAAAGTTACGACAAAAATGCTAAATATAACTGATTCAATTTATAAAAAAAAATAAAAATGCTTATCCAAGTCGAAAATGCATCTTGGGAAATACTAGTCAGAAGGCATACTTATAACATATCGCTGGAAAGCGGAGAATTTCAGAAAATTCGATATCTAATATAGAAAGTTGTAGAAGATAACGGCGAATGGCAAAACAATTACAAATAATAATTTTTGAAAACTAATGATATTTAACGTAAATCACAAGTTTTAAAGGAAATTAAATGAAATTTACGAACTAAATGTAACCTTTTAAAATATTTCTAAGTTTGAAAAAAATATTTAAAATCCACAAAATCAAGGCAATGACATTGTTTAAAAAACTATTTCATTGTACTTGTGTGAAGATACAAGTAAAATATAAAATCATTTCATGGATGTATAAAGCATATGTTTATAGCCTAATAAATTTACTCTAGTTTAATAATTCTAGATAATAATCGACAGATTGTGAAATCCATAATCAACGGATCATACAATCCATAATCAACCGATGATATAATAAATAATACTTTTGTTATTTTAGTGGTATTTATGATTTATTAGCTGTAATTATTTAGCTTTAGCTCAGTTAAAAATGCGATTCAAAAATTTTATAATAGCCCAAAATGGCAAGAAAATAATTTTTGTTCACAGTTGAGCGGTAAGTGAAAGTTGTGTGTTGCTCTCACTAGATTTTTTTTTCTCTGATTTACGGCAAACCATGTGTATTATATTATTACTTTCCTACCTATACTAGGTAATTAAAATATTACGATCGGGTCAAATTTCCGATGTGCGGTTTTCGACGGATCTATACGTTTCAGAGCCCCATGAGTCCGAAAAAACATTTTTAGCCATTGGTCTATCTGTCTGTGCCAATATTTTCTCGGGAACTACTCAACCGATTTTGTTGCTTCTTTTTTTATTTTGCAGGGTTTTGACTACTGATGCCTGCAACACAAATTGGGTGCTCCATGCGCAATAGCTGCTGCGCAATTAATGAAAAACATGTTTTTCTATAGAGTGTAAAACACCATTTAGCCCGTTTTTCTGAAATATAATGAAATGCTCTACAAAACTACATAAAAATCGTTCATTTTGGACAACTATTAACGAAGTTACAGCTATTCAACTTCACTATTTCCTCTACGTTTAACAGAAATTATTGTTGAATAAATTAAGTTATGGCAAAAAGTTTTTGATCAGCAATATTAGAGTTATGTGGTTTACAAAAACAGATAGAATAACGAGGTTTTTATTGTCTACCGTCGATATGATAAATAGGGTTTTTGATATTCTAGTGGTCTTAATGAGCTTTAGCACTGTTTAAAATGCATTTAAACAATTTTATAGTAGCCCATAAATTACAAAAATAATTTCTATTCAAAGTAGAGGGGTAAGTAAAAGTTGTGTGTTGTGCCACCAGATTTTTTATGTCATGTTGGGTAATGAGGCACATTAATATAGGGAATGTTATTATTTTTATCAATTTTTTTCTGGACCTGCGTCTTTATTTATTTAAAACTATTCACTGCAGCAAAACTATATACACTTCTCAAAAAAATGGAAGAGTCATATAGTTTTTATGTTCTAATTTGATTGTTAAACTGATTTAAATGTTGATGTTGACACACAAAGTAAACGAAGGCGTTAGCTAATAATTTAAACTGTTTATTTACATGGGAGATATTCTTAGTAATGCTCATTTCTATGGCAACAATAATTAATCCGAAAAAGATTTAGTTCACTTTCTTCATTTAAATCATGATTATTAACGTATTTTTATGTTTTCCATTAATAATGAATGCAAATAGAGTTGAACGAAGGCATTTTAATGAAGATGAAGTGTCTAGAGCTGCCACTCTGCTAGGAAGGACATCCTTAGGGTTATGTTGGAATCTGCCTGGGAGTTTCACAGGTTTTGGGAACGCTATTTAGTGACTGCACGCCTCACTAAGCATCCTGATATAAGATCCTAGAAGGGTAACGAATGCATGAGAAGAGACATTTTTAAGACTCCATGTCTTGCGTAAAGATTTTCAACTAATCCTAACCTTCTTCATGAACTAACACATGCTACTGTGCTACTTGTTTCAGATCAAATGGTAGACTATGGGAGGTGTAGTTGATTTCAACAATTCCTAAAAAAGTTCCACCTTTAACTAGGTGTTACAAAATTGCAAGAAATTTATTGACAAGGGAACACTTATTTTGGGATGTGGAGCTCAGTGTTATTCACTCATAAGTCAACGTTTAATTTACAAATGATTCACAAATGCAACCATGAAAGTTCGATTTCCTTTTGGCTTTGGTTCAGTGCTGATTTAGGGAGAGATTTCAATGGAAGGAAAATGTTTTAATAATTTTACGGAATGGTTCTTCGACAGTTCATTGTTATCTAAATGAGGTATTAAGACCTCTGGTTGCTCCTCTAGTAGTTGTTGCTAAAGTCAGTGGTGAGAGTTTTATCTTAATGCAAGATGGAGTACATCCTCATACAGCCAGGATTACCATGATGTTTTTGGAAAACAGTAAAATTGAGACAATGCAATGGCTAACAGTTAGTCCTGACCTAAATTTTATTGAGCACTAATGGGACCAACTCGTACGTCATCGTAAAGACTGATTAGACCAGCCAGCTGCTTAATATCAAGAACTTGAAAGCACTATTACAAGAAGAGTTATAACAAATTTCCCAAGATTACATCCGCAATCTTATATGAAGCATGCATTGTTGTTGTGAGGCTATATTAAAGCAAACAGAGATAGTGCTTGATAATAATGATGGATTTTCTTAAATTAAATGGAAAGGTAAAAAAATTGAATTTTCATTTGCTTTTTTTTTTTTTTTTTAATTTTTCATGTTTTTGTTTGTTCTCCTTTGTTTTATGCAGTGTTTATAAAAAATCAATTTGTTGTTTTTCATAAAATAAAGGTTTATTGTGTAACTCAGTGCATTTTTATTTAAACCTATCAACCTTTTAAAAAATAATCACTAAATAGAGCTTTGACACTTTAATTTTTTGAGGTATATATATACTCACACACACACAATTAGTTTATTTTTACTACCATTGGGTATTTTAAGGAGGATTTGCTGTATACAAAGCAGACCTGTACAAATATGGATTTTAAAATAACAAGTATTTTGTGTTTCTAAAATAAATTTTAATCACCATATATTTAAATTGTTTACAGAAAAAGTATTTTTTAGTTGAAATTTGAATGCTTACTAAGTTAAATAATTATGAGAAGTAATTTAAAAGTAAGTAGTCATTGAAATACAAGGTGATTAAAATTGTATTTTAGAAGAACAAAATACTTTATATTTTAAATAATGTATTTTAAAATACTTTTCACCCAGGTTTGACATAAAGGTTCTGTTATTCTTTAGCACTAGACTTTCTATTAATTTATTGGGCGTGGAAGGATCGCTCTGTTATCTTTATCAGGAACTCTCCTCATGTGCAAAAAAAAACTTGAGGAGTTGACCTTGACCAAAAGGTAGCAAAATCAGAGCAATGTAGCACATTATCTTTACTATAAGTATAGAGTTTAATACTATGCAGAAGCAGATTAGGTATTTAATTTTGGGGATAGGAACTTTGATTTTTTATAACAGTTATCACTCCAGAAGAAAAAGAAAGAAACTATGAAATGTTAAATTGGTCCTTGAAGGGCTGTTAAAAAAAAAAAAAGTAATTACAGAAACAATATTACTGTATTTGCATTATAATCCAAAGAGAGAAAGGACATATTATGATTGTTGATGTATTTAGATCAGATAAATCACATAAACAAATACGAACCAAAAGTATTACTGTTCGTGTAATTAAATTTAATAGGACTTCAAGAATCACTGAAACACGATGTCATATTAGTAGTCAGTTTCTTTCTTTTTTTCAAATTAATTATCGTTATGTATATGAAAAAAGAAATATTCTTCTTCCAAAGTAATAATTGTTATATAGATAAAAAAAAAATAAAAATCTT